CACCATCCATTTCTTCTTTCATTTCCACTTGCAATTCTAGCAATTATAAATAGAATAGAGATTGAACTAGCAATATACGGATACTAATAATTAGAGTAATTAGTATTTCTCCTAATTATTATACTATTGGAACATTGCTAAATTAATTTCAGCCTGTAAGTATTACACGGAAAAATACAAAATTAATTTTAATTAATAAATACATACAGCTCAAACAAAAATAATAATTGAAGTGATGATGATACGGAGCAATTTGAAACTCATTTTCAATCGCAAAGTTTTAGGTTATTTTGTTAAATATTTAAAATATGAATTTTTATAGTTTTATTAATTTAGTGATAAATAAAAACTTTTAAATTGCTGAACAAAATATACAGCAAACATATTGCGCTACGGTATGCAAAACTATATGAATAAATTTAAATTATTATCTAAAATTGCGAATATTTATCGAATACTTATCGAATATTATTGATGTATTTACAGAACTATTTTAAATTCCATAAATTGATGAGTGGAAAAGCTATTTCTTTCAAATTAATCAACATTAATATTGAATATTTTTGTTCAAATGTGATCTGCTCAAAGATAAAAAATTTTGATCGCTATGACAAATTGCTTAATTAAATTTTATTAAAATTTAATTCAGTTATGTAGTCTATCATATATTTATAACAATGTTAATGGATGATTCATCTGAAAATAAACTTAGTGAAATCTATCGCTACTTCGTGAGAAAGTGAAGTAATATAAACTTCAATAAAGCAACTGTAAATTTAGCATGTATAATAAACTCGAAGTTCATCGATTATATTTTGGTAAAATAAGGCAAAAAAGTAATTTCGCGATAATCTACAGAATAAAAAGACCTATTTCTCGATAACTTACAAGATAAAATTCTTCGAACAACTACGAAATTTTATTAGATATGTTTGAAAAGCCGGTAATTGAAAACAAAATCAAATCAAAACTCATTTATACACATTTAATTCTTCGTTTAATTATATGTCAAATGAAAATGCCTCAAATTATCAGGCAGCTTAAGTGAGGAGAATGACAATATTCAATGGAAATATTTTTAGAAAGATGCGAAATTACTACTTATTCTACCATTTACAGTTTTTGTTTATCTCATTTAAAGGTGATATTATAACACTGTGATAATCTCATTAAATTTAATTGATTAACAAAAGCATAAGCAATAGCAATACAGCACAATGTTTGCTTGCATAGCATAACGATTTAAGGCTATTATTAATTAAAATATTGAATTTTTATGAGGTCCAAAAATTTTCACGAGGTTTTGCGTCACCATCACCAATTAGATAGGCAATTTTTCTGTTTATTTTGAAAAAAGTTGTTGAAATCAAAATAATAGATCAAATAGCATTGTGATAAAAACTAAAATACTGAAATCGATTATTATAAAGCTGTGATAACCTTTGACCTATCAATAATTGTTTGTCTGCGCATGATTATTTATGATTATAATGTTTTATATAAGAGAAAAGGTCGATCTGAGTTTTTTGAAGATTACATATTAATCATTTAGTTGAATTTACATGGATTCACAAGAATTGTGCATCTTTCGCACTTTTTTAACATTTAATTTCTAGCGCAACATGGTCAAACTTCATCCGAAATGATATTTATATGGCAAAACTTCATATTCAAATGAAGTTAATGCTTTTGCTTGAGGGAAATCCTTTCGAGAATGTCTTGTCTAAAATATTTTCATGAATTATGAAAATTCTGAAGAAGTTGTTATTGAAAATTATAGAAAATTAAATAACTCAGCAATAAAAAGTGTTTGAAGTTTGTTAGAAGAAATTCATTTTCTTTTATCAAATTTCAAATTTCATTTTGATGCTTTAAGGATTAAGCAAGATTTTCAGAGAAGAAATTTGCAATATAGTTCTATCTCCATTTGTTGGATATCATTATGTTACTTACTCTTTAAGTATATTTATTATTTTAAAAAAAGTCATATTATTATTTTTGTATTGAAATTTTTCCTCAAAAAAAAAAATTGCTGTCTGTTTTCGATAGTGCGAGATCAAGAATGAAATCATCTTGTAATAATCATTGAATCGTCGTTTTCAACAACGGTAAACAAAAAAACACTGCTAAATTTTCGTTTATTCTTAAATATTTTGACGAAATAATTATAGGAAACTAAAAAAAATGTATTGGAAATCGTTAAATTAAAAGATTGAATTCAAAATGGAGGGTATAAAAATTTTTTCTTAAAGAAATCTATGAGGAAATTCCTTTTTTTCTTCGGAGACTCAATGAAAAAAAATTGTATTATATAATACGCTTTCAAAGGTGGCATTATCCGTTCAGAAATAGAAATGAAAAATATCTTTTAAATTTGAAGTCCGAAATTTTAATTTTTGATTTAAAATTCTATATTTTAGTATTTTTTTAAAAAATAAGTTTAGCAATATAATATAGCATCTTTTAAAATACTTTTCAACAAGTCCGATTTCAAATTTATCACGGATTGTTCCAAAAAAAGGCAAAATATGAAATTGTTTCGAAGTTTGTAATGAGCGTATTCACTTGATTTTATCAGCCAATTTTATTTTCATTTCTGTTTTAGATATTTAATACATCATTCAGTAATTTATTCTTAGCCATAGGAAATAATAAATGAATATGAAATGAAATTCAAACCTTTAAATTACTTGCCACTAAACGGTTCATCAATATCACTATCTCCGCGTGAACAATGCTTGTCTTAACGACATCTTGAAGTAATGAAGCGGCTAATAAACAGAATATCTTATGAAGTAATAAATGTTCTACATATATCTTTCTTTGCTTTAACAAGAATTACAACAATTCTAACCATATTTAAACATAAAATTAACTTCATAGAATTTCTCCGAATAATTTAATTTATTATTAGAATTCCTGAAAAAGAAAATCTAATTATTGCTATTTGAATTATTTTGAAAGCCATAATGATATTACTATTAATATGAAAATTAAATTATTTCATAAAAAATATCAATTAAACAATTTATAGTTTAAAAAATTATATTACAGTATAAAAATTTAAAAATTTACTATCAAACATTTAGAATAAAACCCAACTGCTAAAATCAAAATTAACAAATTTCCATTGAAATACAATTTTTCCAATTTGAATGAGTTCAAATTTTGAAGATATGAATATATTAGCATAAGAGAGGAATGCAATATTGAAAGAGATTGTGGAATAAAAATGGAAGCAGCGAAAGAAAACACACACCGTATTCCCTAACCTCATAAGCTTACTGGTCATTCCCACTGGTCATTAACGATCGATCCAGCAACGCTTACATATTTGCAACACTTTTTAGTTTCCCTCTCGCGGCATTCATTTCCTTCACTTTACCGATCACTCCATCTTTTTTTTCTTCCTTTTCCTTTTTGAAATTCATATTTAACTCAATAAAACTAGTTAAAATTTGAATTCCACCATTAGCTTGATAATCAAAGATTCAGACAGGTAATTAACCTAATCTTAATATATTAATAAAAACACAAACAGTATGATTCGCGTCTTGGCTCTTATCATTAAGGTCATTATCGTAAATTGAGGTAAATAACAGATAAAGATTGATTTTTTTTCTCATAATATTATAATTAAAAGTTAGAAGGTTAATAGTGACGTACATTTAAGAAGTTTAATGAAAGACACCTGAAAAGCATGCGTGTTTTTCCATTTTAATTGTTGCACTGCAACAATGGTTGATAATAATTTGCAAATTAAAAATTTAAATTCAGATTAAACTAGCAAAGCTGGAAGTGAAATTGATCGTCGAACGGATGTGAATGAAGATAGGACCGGCAATTCTCAGGCGAATCAATAGAGTTAGCTACTTTATGTGCTTTTTCAAGCAAGAAATCTGTGTTAATTCCAATAAATTTTTTCCAACTTTTTTTTACAGAAATTTGAACAAAATTCAATGATATGTTAGGCATGGTTTAATATATTATTATTTGAATTAGCACGAAATATTCTAAAATAGATGGTAATATGAGTATTTTCCTGTTTTATATCTGTTTCATAAGTAGATGTTAATGAATTAAACTTCAAAGGCGTGAAAATTTGTCGAGAAAAAGTGATTTAAAAAAAAGTGTGGAGTCGTGAAATCAGTTTTAAGATCTGAGGTGTTTCATTGTGGGGTAACACGTCTCAATACAAATGATGAACTTTGCTATTCGGTCGCAATCAGTCGTCGATCGCAGGGAGGAGAGGCGGTTGCTTTATAGTTGTGATTATAAATTTTTGAAAAAAAAGACTGCTCGGAGCTTGAGAGATTTCTCGAGATCCCGAAGTGTTGCTAATCCTCTTGTAGGAATTCTGAGAATTTTTCTTTTGATCGGTTAGAAAATCCTGACATGAAATTGAGATATGGGACGGATTTATTGTGAAGGTGTATGTTTGCATGAATTTTCCTTTTAGAATATTCTTTTGAATGGCTTGATTCGATGTATAATGTAAGCAGTGCATATCTCATTCATGCAAGCTGTACATACCTTTTTTGACTTAAAAAAGAAATAACTTCTTGAAAGATTTATTGAAAATATGCGTGCTGCTTCATTTTCGTTCCTTCTTCTTCCTCCTTTTTTCTTTCTTTCTTCTTATTTTACCAGTTAATGATACTCTCGTTCGTTTTTATACCGAAAACAACTCTGCTACCAATAATGTTAGACTAATTATTGCGGTAAATCTGAATTTTACGTAAAGTGGTTTTACCAACAGTAATAATGTATCTCTTCGCTTATGCTGTCAAAAAAATCTTTACTTTTCTTGATTGATAAATCTTCGACAAGATGCTCTTTTGTGAAAAGTTTGCTTGAAAAATTTCAACAACATATTCACAGATTTCAACAGATTTATCCAATGCACAAATATAATATGGATAATAATATATTCTGTTAAACAGATCTTATGCTGAGGCATTCATTTCCAGATCGTTGACAAAAAGGCCTGGAGAGGAAAGATGGATATGGATGATCATCAGGCTTGTACCTCGATGGATGTTACAGAAAATGATGGTATCTCAGATGGCGATGGGATCCATTGGCATTTTTCTCAAGTTAAAGGAAATATCGAGCCTGATGGAGGTATTACAAGCGACGGTGAGATCTTATAGCGTGTGATCGGCTTTTCATGACATCGTTTCCACATGTGTCATCTTGGGAACATATTGTGTCGTGAAGTCGAATTTATGCTTAAACATCCGTTTTCATCTGTCGCTTTTTCTTTCTCGTGATGCTTATATATTTATTTCCGGTGCCGTATTTTGTGCTTTCGATGTTTTTTTTTTTTTGTATAATTTTGAAACGATTTTTTCACACTTCTCTCCGAAAGTTTTGTCGAAAGAAATGCATTATTTTAATCATGGTATTGTTCCTATCTGCTGTACTATAACATTAGCAGTTTTTTTTTAAAGTAGTCAGTCCATTTTAGCGGATATTATATCTTGTGTTGAATTTTCTCACGATGGTGAATTCTTAGCAACGGGTGACAAAGGAGGACGGGTTGTGATATTTCAACGTGATCAAAGTGTAAGTTTTTACTGATTGAAGTTTGTACTGTTTGTAAATCTAGAAATTTCATTTTTTAGAAAACCCGAACTACAATATGAGAGTAGCAATGGTTAGGCAGCGTGGAAGCAAGGAATGAATTATATCTCAAGACTTTAAACAGTACTGTTGAGAAATAGATAATCTGACTACCAATGTCCCCATCAAATTCATTAACAGTTATAAGCCATCTACTCTTGAAAAACAAATACATGATCGTTTCCTACACACATTACATCATTGAAAAAGATACTACCACTGACTGAATCATTTTTCTGTTTTTATTAGTAATTATTTCACTAGCTGGGAATTCCTATTAACAGAAATGAAACGACTGATATAGGACAACTGCATTTTACTATATTTGCACTTTTTTATAGGGAAAATTTATAAACGGTCAACGTTCAACTGACTACAATGTTTATTCAACTTTCCAGTCGCACGAACCAGAATTTGATTATTTGAAATCTCTTGAAATAGAGGAAAAAATCAATCAAATTAAGTGGTTGAAAAGGAAAAATGCTGCTAATTTTATTCTCTCCACCAATGGTATGAAATCGTTTGCACATAAATATGGTTTCTTCAGAAAAATTCAGCTTCACTATTTTTATTTTTTTTATATTTTATCAACACCTGAAAGGTATTTTGTAGATAAAACGATCAAGCTATGGAAAATTTCTGAAAGAGAAAAGAAAGTTGCTGATGGTGGTTGGAATTTAGCAAGAAATGCTGATGGCACAACTGTAGGCAAACGAAGTAAGTACACGGGTTGTAATGAAGAAAAGAATTTGAATTCTATTTTTCTTTCGAATGTGTTGTGGATAAACTGAATAAGTTTTATTCTTGGTTGAAAAATTCTACTCTATTTTTATTTTATCATATGCTTTATTAATACATGGAGAGTTTATCATATATTTATTTTGCCAGTATTTTAAACTGATAAGGTGATTATTGTATATGTTCTCCAATTATTATTTATCTCAAAACTATGATAGCACTTAGTGTTATTGTTTCCTTTTTTACTCGTAATTATTAGAAGGAATCTCTCATATAATAATTACAGGCTTTAGCGGGCAGCTGAAGCTTCCTAGATTAGTGCCAATGGAATTAATAGTCGAAGCATCTCCTCGACGGGTTTACGGCAATGCTCATACTTATCATGTCAATTCTATCAGTGTTAATTCTGATCAGGTATATTATGTTTTTTATTCATGGTTTCTTGCTTTTCAGTGTTTCTCAGTATATTCATCTTTAATCAGTTGCTTCTTTCAGGAAATATTTTTGTCAGCTGATGATTTGCGAATAAATATATGGCATCTTGAAATTACCAATGAGAGCTTCAGTTAGTTTCATTATGGAAATTTTCTGGATGTTGATGTGAAGTGCAACAGAAAAGGAAGGCAAAATGTTTTTGCGATAATTTTAGTAATAGTGAACGATCGTTTCAGATATAGTGGATATTAAGCCAGTGAATATGGAAGAGTTAACAGAGGTGATTACTGCCGCTGAATTTCATCCAACTCAATGCCATTGGTTCGTATATAGCTCGTCCAAAGGGTCGATTCGCTTATGTGATATGCGTGATCGTGCACTTTGCGATATTCATGCCAAATGTGATTCATTTTTTTTACTTTTTACTGTATGCATGTTCTTAGATAAAATCTCTATTTCAGTGTAGCTAATATGAACTAACTTTTTGAAGATGGAAGGTTTATACATTGGCGGAAATGCTTGATGCTTGATTTTTACTGTGCTAAATTTCGAATGTTTTTTAATGTTAAAATAAATCACAATACTATGTTTGCAGTATTTGAAGAATCGGAAGATCCGGCAAATCGCTCATTCTTCTCAGAAATCATCGCTTCTGTATCCGATGTGAAATTTTCTCACAATGGGAGATATTTGCTCACAAGAGATTACCTAACTGCTAAAGTGTGTATTTTCTTATTTTTCGAATAACTGCATCAGTCAATTGAAGTTTTTCTTTCCAACTTTCATTAATTATATGAAACGTTTTATCTTTATAGGTCTGGGATATAAACATGGAGTCTGGACCTGTAGAAACTTATCCTGTCCATGACTATTTACGCTCAAAATTATGCACCCTGTATGAGAATGATTCGATTTTTGATAAATTCGAAGTTGATTGGAGTGGAGATGACAAGTGAGTTGTTATGCTTTATTCACTTTGTTTTAATCGTTAAGTCACTTCTATATCCATCGAAGAATATGAATTCTTTATATCATAAGTACTGAATATTTAACTTCAAAACATTCAATGACGTAAAAATGTTAGTTTTCAATCTTTAGAGACATGTGACCGATGATAAATATTTATGTTGTTAAAATCTTTTAAATACTTTTTGGATTTTGCATAATATAAGGAGTGATGCAATAATTTGATTTCAATCGTTAATATTTGTAAACATGATAAGCAATATTTTGTCATGTTTATCTTAAAACTAGTGCAGACCAGTTTAATCAGACGGCTAGGCTAAACGAAAAGAAAGGAATAAAAGAGTGACTTGGCTACGGTATTTAAATACTGGAAATTGGTTGTGGACTTTTCAGTGTTTTAATCCTTTTTTCAAACCATATTAAAAAGTATCGATATTTGAAAAAAAATGATTTAGCTAATTCAAAGTTTCGATTCTGGTCAGTCTTCACTTAGCTGGTTGTTTAAACCATTGGTAACTCATTTCAGAACAAATTCATCGATTCGCTTTCTCCGTTTCATTTTTCTCCCATCCTGGTCAATTTTTGAGAACATTTTAATCACTGCATTATTGATTTTCAGCCACATTTTAACTGGATCATATAACAACTTCTTTCGATCATTCAAAAGAGGTATTGAAGCAGGTGTTGCCAAAACTTATGAGGTAACTTGTGATATTGTGATAATCGTGGCTTTTTTTCAAATAGAAGTCTATATAGAAGGTTTTTTTGCTCTTTCATGCTATCTGACCTAAATTTTAGGCTCACATCGAAAAATCCCACATACCTTTACCAACTCGTCGAGTGCTAACATCAGGTGCTCGTGTAAACAAAAAACGTGTGCTTGCTGGAGCAGCGGAGACTCAAGCAGACGAAGATGTGAGCGCGGATAATCTTGATTTTACTAAAAAAATTCTGCATACTGCTTGGCATCCTGAACAAAATATCATCGCATTAGCAGCAACCAATCGACTTTATATCTTTCAGGATAAATAAAAATTTCTTTATGTTGTTCCTCACTACACCGGGCAATTCTAATATATTTCTTTTGTTCATTTTTTGCTTTTATCGTCTCATTCATTCGAGGTTGCATGGGAATTTGTTTTTACTTTTTTGAATTTAGTCATTCAGAATCTTGGCATTCAAAATATTGTTCGTCAATAACGGAAGGTGGGATAAATGTCGAAAAATATAAAATTCTCTCGCAATTTTGAGTGGCCAGAGTTTGTTATTTTTTAGGGATAATTTAAAAAATTACTTATTTTATATCATGTATTTGAATTTTGATAATCTGTGCAATACTGTCTACTTCTTTTATTGGCTAGAGTGCTATCACAACCTCTTATAGCATTTTAATGTTCAGAAAGATGTTCACTGTGGAATATTCTCTTACTATTCGTGTGGATTTTAGTCACTTACAACTGTTGAAGTCTAAAAATTGATTTCTTAGGAGTGTTTGGAGTCTCGATCTTCGTAGTTCATGGTAGTGTATCGTTGTAAGAGATATATTAGCTTAGGCTAGAAGCGTTATATGTAAGTACATGCATCATCGTTGTTGCTTATTCTTCTCATTTTGCAGGATCACTTTAATTTGCATAGTTCATTCATTTCCTGCAAGGTATAATGTTATTGTTTTCAGTGGATAGCTATTTCCTATCTGGAGAAATGTCTCCGTTTCTTGATTCAGTTTTGATGGAGCAGTAATTAATGCTTCCTTTAAAGGAATTTTAAAAGACCGATTGTTTTATAGCAAAAGGGAAAAGGTTCTTTTCAGTTTTATTTCATAAGACTTCATTATTACATTTATTGTATGGTTGGAAATTCTTTAATTTTAGATTGGAATTCTAGAACTGAATTTGATTTTACGGAAGCATTTTGCTGTGCACGATAGCATTAACTCAGAAAAATATAAAAAAATGTTTAATCTTACTACACTGTGCCGATGCTTTATTAGTATAACTTTGATGGCTATTCATCTTTCCGAAGGTTTTGTATTTTTCTTTGTTTTTTGTTTTTCCGTTTTTGTTGGAATCGCTTTTGACATTTCTATTTCCTTCATTTTATATTGCTAACTGATTATACCATTATGGTAGAACTACGAGAAAATGCGCATATTACGAAGATTTGTTAGGTTTTCCAATTGATCCAGCCTAGAGTTATGGGTAGTCTACACTGATTAGTTGCATTTCCGATAGTTTACATTTATTTATCTTCTCTGATTATTAGACAGTTCAGATTTTTAGAAATTTTCTCGTTTAACAACTTTGAATGTCATGTTCATATATTATTTTCTTTTAATGGACGACAACACGTGGAATTTATGAATGTTTTTTCATCGTTGTTTCATCTTTCTTACAACATCTCTAATTTTACTTGCATTGTACGGATTCTTTTTTTCTTTTTGAGTTTTGTGCAGACTAATTTTCACTTTTCTTTTTCTTCTGTTATTGAATTCTTACTGACTTCTTACATATTTTAAAATATTCATGCATCATATATATTGATTGAGCAAATCTGATCTGTTTCATTACATTGCGCTCCCCGCAAAAAATGGTTTGTTTGTTTTTTTATACCTGATAAAGTTAGTGCATACATCGATCAGAATTTATATACAGCCATGAGAAGTAGAATATGTTTTAGGCAAAAGGGAATTAAACTTGTAATCAGATGGCTACGTACCAAGTTCAGTTTTAAATAATATCTGTCTAGTATTGCAATTCAGGGATACAAACTTCTTAATTTTTCGGCAAAGTTTTGAAGTGTGCCGAAGTGTATTACAATGATTATTGTTCTGTCTTTTTTTTTTCGATAAGATGGTGACATACTGTGATATATGCTTCATTCATGCATGTGTACTTTAATGGCTCAGCAACTAACTGATTTACTCAATCAGGCATATGACATTATGAGGGATATATAATCTGAATGGGGCTGGGAGATATTGGGACATACAGGGAATGACTGCCAAATTCAATGTATCTGATTTCAATCTTCATGGAAAATTTTTGTTTCACTGTATTTGTTAGGCTCAGCTTGTTTTAAAAATTTGCTATAGGAACATTTTAATACTTATGGATTTTTTCGCAGAGGTTTTTTCAAAAGATTCAGCAGCTTAATTGTTCAATTTGAAATCTTATTCAAGAGAATCAAAATTTTATGGAATTTTAAACATTTCAAACTTTTAACAATTATCGAAAATTGCATCTCAGCTATGTAAATATTAGTTTTATTTGTCGATGATTAAGAAAAGTTAATTTATTTAGATGTAGGAAGCGTTAATCCGAACAAATATTCAGTTTAATTATCGCAAATGAAACTGTTAAAAATTTGGCAAATGAAACTGTTAAAAATTTGTTGTATAAATTATTGGTGATGTATTTTATTTATAAATACATTGAAAGAATTAATTTCATAAAATTTAGAAATGCATTTAAGCATTTAATTATAAATTGTTCATCGTTTCCATTATAATCATATTTCTGCCCAATGTTAATGATATGTTATCAAAATGCAAGAAGATAACAGGAATTTTGAAAATTTTGCCAAGAATGAAGAATCTCCAATAACATTATTGATGGGAAATGTAAAAATGTTAAAAAAACAAATACAAAAATTCTTTCATCTCTCGAATATGTTAAATTTTGCATGGCACAAAATTTTTAACGTGAACCTCACTAATGCCAAATGATCATTTGTTCCATTCTTCATTCCCCTAATCAATCATACATACCACTCTTCAGGCCGGTCAATGATGAATCATAAGGATTGGCTGAATTAAGCTGTCCATAAGCTTCTTATCAATCCATTTCGTTCAAATTATCCCATAGCTAGCCTAAGCTATCAATTCATTTGCCTCTTACCGTCCTTACTAATCTATCAAATAAATATATTTTCAAAAAAAAAAAAAACTAACCAAAACGATAAATTTTAATGAACCATAAGATGTTAAACGATTCGAGAAATTATAATATAGCTAAATTAGGTCAAACAAATTACTACCAAATCATTATTAATAGAATTCGTAATCGATTTTTTTTCACATATCTATCATACATCAAGAATTTTTTTTTTCAAAATTTCCAACAATACATCTGATACAATAGGGCAGATGGAAGAGAATGGAGATGGTATAATTGAGTTAAAAAAAAGGAAAAAAAAACAGGAAAATTAAAACGATCAGAGAAATATGAATGGATTGAAATGAAGTGATGAGGATGTGAAGATTCCTTTCCAAAAAATCAGTGAAATGAAAAATCATACGGGAAAACAAAAAACTTAAAAAATTTTTCATTTCAATTTTAGTCATTAACCATATAAAAATGAGAAATGAATTTGAGACGAAGAATGGTGACGGATGCGATAGAACTAATACTTTCTATAAAAAATCGTTTTTCAAACTAAAATAATTAATTAATCTTTAAGTAAATAATCTTGAAATATAATAGCAACAACAAAGTACTTCATCATAAAATAAAGAATTATTAATGAACTTGGTGTAATAAGAAAAACACATTATATCAAATAAATTTTGCATTCTTTGATGATTAATTGCTATTTATTTCTTTATGTATGTGTATATTTTGAATAATTTCAAATTTAGTAACAAATTATAAACATTATTAAAAGTAAATGGCTATTGGATAATGTTAGTTCGTATTGAATGGAAAACCGGATGGGATGTTTATAATCGACGAATTTAGCCATATTATTTATTCATACTGCTTTTTGAACAGATTAAAATAACTAACGTGTACTAATTTACTGGCCTAGATTATACAGTCCCTGCGAGTTGTTCCAATTTCGCCACAAATAACTATCCGTTCTCTTCCTTTATTTAAATCAATTCCTGCGGTAAATTTAATATTTACCAAAATTCAATTATATTCATTTGAAGATTATTGGCAACTTTAGTACTAAAATTATATTTTACATTTCTTTACAGTAAAGCTTACTTAGAGAGCAAATGCTATTGGTTTATCTTTAATATAATTTTTGTAAAATTAGTCATAAAGCAATGATAAAATGAAGATTTGATATGATCTATGCAACGAACTCATAATGGATAAGATTTAATTTTTAAAATGTAAAACATTTTCTTTGTACAAATTTGAACAACTAATATTAATTAACTGATAATAATTGTAATAATGCTATTTCTAACGGTAGCAATCAATATCATTAGCAATGATAGTGATAATAATACTAGCCAGGTTTGATAAATGGGTCCAAGCGATTTGTGCGGAGGTTAAATGCCATTCGTTTGTAACGACTGATGATGGCTTTTTTATTTCCATCCTAACATTCTTCCAATTTTTTCCTAATTATATTTGGTAGAATTTTTGAGAATCGAAATAAATTTTTCAACATTCTAAATTCCCCTTTTGATAATGAAATTGGTTGATAACAATGATCATTTATCAGTTCCTTCATTTTAATTCTTCCATTATTATTATTATTTTCGATGCGTTTCATTCTTTCATTATCATTTCGTTTTTTTCCCATCTTGTTCCCTCATGCTATACAATTTTGTGTGCAATTTTATTCCTGAATGAGTTAAATTAGAATTTAATTTTTTCATTTCTTGTTTAATATGAAAGACGAGAAATTTTTCATTCCATGTAACTAAATCATATATGTTATAAAATATTTGCTAGAACATTCAAAATTAATCGAACAAAATTTTCCAGAAGATATTTCTGTTTATTAATGTTTTTAGCTTGTTTACTTATAGTAATAACATTTTCAATTTAATCGATTTGATTTTGGCTATGTTTGTTTGTGAATTTTTCAATATTTTAATATCAAATTAATGATTTAGCAGTTGCATTTATCTTAAAAAATTTACTTTAATTTATAGAATAAATACTAAAAGTAATAATATCATTTTTTTTGCATTTTCTATCACACAATGAGATAAATTCTTTAGAATTTTCATTTGCCACTCAAAAGAGATAGATAATTGCGTAATATCAAAGTAAGAAATGCATTTCTAATTT